TGCTAGATTTCAGGAAGAAGAAACTAGAGCTGCTGGTTTGCTGAAGAACATGAGTTGCTGTTGAACTGGCGTTGAGCTGATGGTGTTGCTGTTGGGCTGATTTGGGCTGGAGAATATTCCAACAGTTTTGTTATTATCAGCTAAAAGGGTTGACGAGAATGGATGATTTAGGTAAGATTCGGAGTTTAAATGTCTAACGATGAAGTATTAAAACATAATAAACACAAATTTTCTACTATTTATGAGATAACAATAGTTTTCAATTTGCATTGAGCAAAATACTGAATTTGCTTCTTGATGTGGGCGGATATACCGGATGGTAGCTTTGCTACCAAGTCTGTATGGCAACTAGTTCGATCCGATAGCTCTTCGGTTGATGTGGAGCTCTATTATACCTACTATGGTTTCCTTCTTCTGCTGGAGATTGGGGCAGGAGTTGGTACCGATTGATGTGATTATTCATTGGAGAATAGGCTGCCACTTTGTCTCTCGTTGTCAGTACTGCTAGGAGGTGGAAACCATCCCACTTTTATTCACATGCGGTGCTATATCTAACCAGGTATGAAGACATTTTCGATATATTTTTCTTGTACTTATATGGCCAGTAAGAAAGTATGACATCGGTTTCAGCTATGGAGATTTTCGATCAATTTTTTTCGCTATAGCCATATTTGTACTATCATTCCACTACTGATCATGTTTCTATAATATGCGAGGAATTATGCAAACCACTGAATATTGGTATGGAGCTTAGAAGAATCATCTGGAGGGTCTACCGCACAGTTTCACTTATACATATGGGTAATTTAATTCGATATGTACACTTACATGGAATATGGTTAATATTGATTATTTGACGTACTTTACCAGTGAAATCCCACAATATCAACACGAATAGATGTGTCAAGGATCCCTATTTTTTCGAAACTCATTTTCAATCAGATATTCTCTTATAAAATAATTTTACACGTAAATCTAGGGCTAGACAAAATTCTCGAACCGAACAGAAACGAACCAAACTGAACCGAATCGAGCGGTTCTTTTTAAGTTAAATACCCAAATGGGTATCTAAATTGAGAACCGATGTGTTCAGTTCGATTATAGACCAGAATCGAAAAACAGAATATCCCTAATTTTTATTTTATTTTAAATACGTTAAATTATTTTATTTTTGTTCTAA